TTTAATTCAGTGTGTATAAGTAGAATGAGTAGAACATGGTGTACATGCATTTTTAGGTAGACATTTTTAGTTTGCAATTTGCCTTCTGATTTGACTGCAATTCACATTTACTTCCAGGAACAAATACAATAATTCATTTCCGCCCCAATGCACATCATCGTTTACTATTGGAGATTAAGGTGTTTTTACTAATATTTGGTCAAAGTGGCTTCTATTTTTTTCATATTTCTCTGATTAATAGTGAAGTTGAACATTTTGCTGTTATGTTCTTAGGAAATTAAGACTGTTTCTTTCCTGTTCATATTTCTTACTGGTTTCTCTATTGTCTTTTTCCTACTCCATTTATAAGTTATAGTAATACATGTAGCACTGGTACTCTAATCCTTGATGTGTTGTAAATATCTTTTTCCAGTTGCTTGTCTTTAAGCTTTTATGTAGGGATTAATTTAGATGTAGTCTGTGATGGTTAGCTTTGTCACCTTGATAAACTTAGAATCACCTGGGAAGAGAGTTTTAATGACAGACTGTCTACTGGTGTTGACTGGTGGGCATGTCTGTGGGGGAGTACCCTAATGAAATTAGTTGATGTGGAAAGACCCAGCCCACTATGAGCAGTACATCCCCTAAGCAGGGAATCCTGAACTGTGGAAGAGTGGAGAAATTGAGCTGAGCAGCAGGCAAGTGAGCATGTGTGCATTCATTTCTCTCTGCTCTTGACTGGATGTCATTAACTGTTTGAAGTTACTGCCTTGACTTCCCCACAATGGTGGATTGGCACCTGGAAATGTAAGCTGAAATGAACCCCTTTCTCCCTTAAGTTGTCCGTTTGTCGAGGTATTTTATTCAAGCAACAGAAATGAAGCTAGAGCATAGTCTAATTTTTGTCTTACAGTTTTCATGCATATTTTCTGTTTTATTTCATAGTTTCCTAATTGAGGGATAAGAATACAATATCCTCTATATTAATGCTTCATTTGACTTGATGGTTTCTTGCTAGTTTTTCCCTTCATCTATAGTTTATTCTTTATAATGAGTGAGTTAGAGATGTTCCCCCCCTTTAGGATTGAATGAGCAGTTTACCAGTCACTGTTTATTAATTGGCCTTTTATTTTCTTGGGAAAACTTTTAATGTTTGTCGTGGAGGCAACTGCATCTATTTCAGATGACTAGTATATTGATTCAATAAAACACAAAAACTTTGTCCTCGTTGGGTGTGGTGGCGCACAGCTTTAGTCCCAGCACTCGAGAGGCAGAGGCAGGCAGATCTCTGTGAGTTCGAGGCCAGCCTGGTCTGCATAGTGCGCCTCAGAGCAGCTGGGACTATAGGGAGACCCTGTCTCAAAAAGACCAAAAAAAAAAAAAAAAAAAAACCAAAAGACAAAAAACACTTTGTCCCAATATACTTTTGTTCTTTTCGTCTTCCTTATTATTATCAAAAGACATGTATATACAAACCCATCAATACAGTTTTATAGACACTGATTTGTATGACTATCTTTTTTAAAATGGAGAGTTGTGAATAAAAACTGTATCATTTCCTTCATAATGCCTTTTAGTTACCTTTCCCAGAATTTTATTTTTCTTTATGTGAATTTGACCTACTATGTAATGTCCTTCAGTTATCCTGAAAGACTAATATTTAGAGGGGACAGGTTTTGTTTATCTGGAATTCCTTAATTTTTCCTTTATTTTAACAGGGTTTCTGTAGTTTATGCAGAACTTGGTTGCGTTCTGTAGCCCCCATACCACCACCACCACCATTTTGCTATCGTTTGGCCTCCCTGGCTTCTTCTGAGAAGCCAGCTCTTAATATTTTTGAAGTGCTGATGTACATAAGCTATTGAGCAAGAGAATAATTACTGTCAAGATTTTCTCTTTGTGTCTGCCTTTCATCACCTGTGAAGTCTCTGATAGGGTTTAGAGTTTATTCTACTTGGAGTTTTCTGGGTTTCTTGACGATTTTGTCATCAAACTGGAGTAGTTTTCAGCCATTGTTCTTTGTCTCTCTGCCTCTTTCTCGCTTTCTTCTTGAGTCTCTGGTGCTTAATTTATGCACTTGATGTTTGCAGTTTTCTGGGGCTCTTTATTTCCTTTTTTTTTTTCTTCTCGGAGGAGATATCTCTATTTACCTGTCTGTAAGTTTGATATTATTACAGCCCAGAGCTGCTGTTGAGTCCTTCTAGTGGATATCTTATTTTGGTTGTTATGCCTTAGCTTCTTGCAAGTCTTTCTTAGATAATTAACAGATAATGTTTTTCTTGTAGCATGTGGCCATTGAGTTTTCTGCTAGTTTTTAAAATTTCAACATCTTGCTTTTATTTTTGTCCTACCTTCCTAATGGTCACACTTGAACCAGTATAATTTAGTAGTTAACCAATGATAGTCAAATGATTTCCTTAAATACCTTGTTTGGAAAGCTCCCTCTTTTGCCCAGGGGATCTTTGTGAGAAAGCACACCTTCAAACTTTGCTGCTTGGCTTATAGCTTTTGCTTCCTGCTTGCTTGGGATCTCAAGGTCAGTGAGAGATGAAAGTAGTTTCCTCTTTGTCAGGTCTTTCTTAGACATATGTAACTTATGCAGTCTTTTAGATTCCCAGAAATGTACTAATGCTTTTCACATTTCCTTGTGGCTAACTGGCTTCTCTGAGGTTCCTTCAAGTTCCTAGACTGGACTGTCTCTGCCCCAGCAGAAATCCTAATCCTCAGCAGCTGAGATATGCTGGGAATTTGCCATCATGTTAATGCCCTTAGTTCAGCCACGCTCTCAGTCTAAGCCATTGCTGAGACCAGGGGCTGTGTCAGGGAATTGTACACTTGGGCAAAATATTGACTCTGCAAGAAGATAGTGCTTTGTTAAAAAGCAACCTGATCTCTCTATTATCTCCAGTCCTTGTGGTTTTTGGATCCTTGGCCCCTGAGCTGGGGAGAGAGATAGAAAGAGAATAGCTCAAAGTTAAGCCACCAAAGGCTGTGTTGTTGTACCAAGGCTTAGTGGTTCTTTACATGATGATTTTCACTTTATTCTGTGGTTCTGATTAATTGCCAGAGTTCTGAAATAGTTGATTTGTACTTGTTTTCTCTGTATGTGTGTGGTTTAGAGGAGCACTAATTGGTAGGTCTTTCCATCATTCCAGAGGGTGAGGTCCTATAGCTGTGATCTTTTCATGTAATGTTGTACTGGATTTGACAGTCTGGTCTTTAGAATTCATTCCTGTGCTCCATGGTAGGAACTTAGGATTGTTTGAATAAACCAGTAATACTTTTTAGAAGCAACTATTTACCGCATTGTATCTAACATTATTATATTACTGTGATCATTTATTCCTACATACCTTCTGTTCAAATAGTCTTTGTCTTCTAGGCCATGGACACAGTCATTCCCTCTTTAATGGTGCTCTAGATCAGACCCATGGCCACGGAGATCACTGCCATAGCCATGAAGTGAAGCACAGTGCTGCACACAGTCATGACCATTCTCACGGACACGGACACTTCCATTCTCATGGTAAGTGCGGCCAGAGCACCTGCAGGGGGCCAGCCTCCCAAGCAAACCAGAGCAAGATGACTTTTCCCAGTCAGAATGAGTCCATCTACGTGATTTCCAGGGTTATTATAATGTAACACAAAAGTAACTCAGTGTAAGGCAGTGGATTTAAGTTTTTTTTCTTTTTTTTCAGCAAATATATCAATAAAATGGTAGTATTTTAATTGTATGAATTGGAAACAGTTGAAATTTAACAAATGAAAAGTATGACTTTTTTTTTTTAGGTCTGACAAGGCCTTTTGTAGTATTTAGAATTATAAAAACACTGGAGAGACTTTGTTTTTTATAGTTTATTACAATCTTTGATACTAAATGCCTGATATTTATTTCCATGTTCCTTCAAAAATCTTTTTTAAAATTTATTTATTTTTGTTTTATGTATACATAAATGTATACAAGCTTTTCTGTGTCTGCCTTATAATCCTTACATGTCTTCCAAGTTCATCCATGTTGTCCTAAATTGCAGCTTTCCTCTTTCCTTCCTTCCTTCCTTCCTTCCTTCCTTCCTTCCTTCCTTCTTTCTTTTTCTTTTTAAATAAGGAAGAATGCCATCCTTTTTATCTGTTGGGCACATTTAGGCTGTTTCTATGACTGGCTGTGTTCTGTAGCGCTGCATTGAGGCGAAGTGCAGATATCTCTTTGATCCTGAGCTTGGTGGTAACATTGTAGTTCTAGTTAATCTGCCATCTTAGCAGGTGCGATTGTATTTCCTTGAAATTTTGATTTCGATTTCCCTGATGATTTGTGATATTGAATACCTTTTCATATACGTGTTGGCCATTTTTCAGTCTCAAAATTTTTTTTCTCCTTATTTGAATTCTTTATATATTTTGGATATTAACAAAGATGCATATAGTTTATAGGTATATTCTGCCTTCCTTAGGTTGTGTTTTCTGTTTTTTGTGTTTTCTCTTGCTGTGCAGAAGGTCTTTAGGTTGGTATAGTGATCCTACTGATCGGTTTTTGTTCACAGTGCCTTTATCAACCTCTAAAATGTGCCATTTTATAACATTACACTGGTATTTTTTTTTTTAATAGTTGTTTTGAAGTTTATAACAAAATGTCGATTCTTAATTTCATAGCGCTCTAAGTAAAGCTAAAAAATACAGTTCTGAAGATATAAAAAATAATTGTTCTCTCTAAAATAATGGACCACATTTCTTCCTTTAACTTATTATTTTTTGTATAAAACCGTTTGGTGTTCAATTGACACCTTCCTGGTATGGGTGTGAACCTAAATTTGAATCTGCAGGATTCATGTAAAAGCTGGTCAAGGCAGTATTGTCTGCGATCCCGGTGCTCTTCTTGGTAGTTGGAAGGCAGAGAGATGACAGTCCTAGGCATCCACAAATAAGACGATTTTCCACGTACAGCAGTGAAGGACAAAAGATAAACTTTGATCTCAAACAAAGTAGAGGTGAGGGCTGACACCTGTAGCTGTCCTCTGACTTCCACATATGCAGTGTGACAAGAATGTGCCTTCAGACACACATCATATGCACACACACACAGACATGCATGCACACAAATCATAAATTCCCTCTACTATGAACAACATTAAAATAACAGAGGCAGAATCAAGCAAATATCTATACATCTATACATTCATAAATAAAAATATAACAACAGTGTACCATATACAGCAATATGCAAACTAAAGGAACTCATCACATATTTCCCTTTTCAATGCATAAACCGTGAAGCCAAGTATCTTAGGTTGTAGTTTAGTCTCTGCCATGTAATATATGACATTGAGAAAGTGCCCTACTTACTCCGAGCTTCATCTGAAGAATCATAATAATACCATGTACACCACAAGCCTGTTTGAAAATTTAGGTTAG